GTTTTAACTAAACATTTCTATTGCATTTAATACTGCATTTTCAGAGCAGCTACAGTTTCATTCTCAGCAACTATATGAAAGAAACTTGAAGTTGCTAAGTAAACTTGAAGTTACCTAAGGTAGGTTTTTTTTTGTTTGTTTGTTTTGAGACAGAGTTTTGCTCTGTTGCCTGGGCTAGAGTGCAGTGGCGTCATGATAGCTTACTGTAACCTCAAACTCCTGGGCTAAAGTGATTCTCCTGTCTTACCCTCCCTGAGTAGCTGGGACTACAGGCACAGACCACCACACCCAGCTAAGTTTTCTGTTTTTTTGTAGAGACTGGGTCTCACTTTTGGCCAGGCTGGTCTCAAACTCCTGAGCTCAGTCTCATTTTTAATGATAGGTTTATCCATGCATTCAGTGAATAACTGAACATCTACTATATACCAGCTCCTTAAAACATACATTACTCACTTAAAATTCTCACAGCAGTTCTTTTTTTAAATTTTTATTATTTTTTATATACATATTTGAATATGAAGGGAGGGAGTAATGAGGAGGGGAGTTCAGTTTCCTTTGTTTTTTGGAGACAGAGTCTTTGTAGCCCTGGGTAGAATGCAGTGGTGTCATAGCTCACTGCAACCTTAAACTCAAGCTCAAGCAATCCGCCCACCTCAAGCCTCCCGAGGAGCTGGCTGAGGCAGGGTCTCAAACTCCTGAGCTCAAGCAATTCCTGCCTTAGCCTCCCAGAGTGCTAGGATTACAGGTGTGAGCCACAGCACCAGCCTGCAGTTCTAACTGATAGATACTTACCTTATTTTACAAATGAGAGGAACCTGAGGCTCAGGATTTAAGAACTTCTCTAAGATCACAGGAGTGGAGGTTTTTAATTCAGTGAAGATCTGCCTGGCTCTAAAGCCCAAAATTGGTTTTTTTTTTTTGGCTACATGTTAATATAATCTCTCTCTTTAGGAACTCACGTTCTAGTGGAAAAGATAGTAAACCTACTTGTAAAAGCCAGGTGATTTCAAAATAAAAGAGAACTTCCTTGTGTTGTCATTGTTTTTTAAATGCCCTTAGTAGATGCTCAGTAAATATTTGTTAAACAAATAAACTAACTATGCTGGGAACATTTAGGCTTTGTCGATAAATTTGATTTTGTTTAGCAACACACTATTGGGTTGAGTGACTGGGATGAGCCTCAACTGGACCAGAGGAGTACAGAGGTGAGACTACCTTAGGTAATAGGAAAGTGAAGTACTATTTGCCTGAGATTACATTTTTTTTTTTTTTTTTTTTTTTTGAGACAGAGTCTCACTGTGTTGCCTGGGCTAGAGTGCTGTGGTGTCATCCTAGCTCACTGCAACCTCAAACTCCTGGGCTCAAGCAATCCTGCCTCAGCCTCCCGAGTAGCTGGGACTACAGGCATGCGCCAACATGCCCGGCTAATTTTTTCTGTGTATTTTTAGTTGTCCAATTAATTTCTTTCTATTTTTAGTAGAGATGGGGTCTTGCTCTTGCTCAGGCTGGTTTCGAACTCCTGAGCTCAAACAGTCCGCCCGCCTCGGCCTCCCAGAATGCTAGGATTACAGGCGTGAGCCACCGCACCCGGCCCTGAGATTACATTTTAAGTCCTGTAGCAGTGCAGAAATTTGTTCATCTCTGACCTAAGCTGCCTTCTGTGCATTATTGTTTACACGTCCTTCATCCTAAATTTGATAAAGATGAAAGCTGTACTTCTGTTCGTAGCTTCTGAGTGGTTTTCAGATAATAAAACCTTACTACTGCTGATCTCATACTGATTCAACCAACTCAGGTACCTTGGAGATGAAAGTGTATCTGTAAGCCATTAAGCTCCTTGGTAAGTTTCATCCCAAAGTTTGGCTTATTCCTGAAATAAAGTTTTAAGAGTTTCAGGATGATCACTAAAATTAGACTAAGTTGCCTAGGAAAGGCATAATTTGTGTAATCCTTTACATAAATTATTTGACAGTTAAGTGGTGTTTTTGTTTTTAATGGGACATTCGCTGCCAAAGGATTGTTTAGGGGCAAGTTAAACTTTTGATGCTTTATCAATGCCATAGATAGTATAAAACAGTTTTATTGATAAAACTTTCTCAATGTGTCTTCTTGACTTTATTAATTGAAATTTTTGAGACTAATTTTTGTTTTCTTAAATAAAACATGGCATTGAACTTTCTTTTTTTGGAGGGTCTCGATCTGTATCCTAGGCTGGAGTGCAGTGGTGTGATCATAGCTCACTGCTACCTTAATCTTCTGGGCTCCAGTGATCCTCCTGCCTCAACCTCCCAAGTAGCAGGGACTACAGGCACGTGCCACCTTGCCCAAATAA